TATATAAAAAGACTAATAATAGCAGTATGTTATGCATCGATAGCAGCAACAGCTTTTCCAGGTTCTGCAGTCATCTGAACAAAATTATAGACATTCAGCACATTCCATTAAAACAAAACAAAACAAAAACAAAGAAAATAATAATATCCAGAAAACAGCAAAGTTCTGTTGCTGTTGTGGTACCTGGCACCATTTTTTTTTATTAGTATCTTAATCATCATCTGGAAGGAGAACCTTCTAGAGTAATATCGTTAAATGTAGCTCTGATAAAGTACAGTCCCTATTATGTATCATAAAGCAGGTACAAGATATTTTACATTCATAGAGCTATGATACAGTACCGTCCTACATCAATAATACTAGAATCAGTTTTGGTTTGAAATTTACTTTGTCTACAAATAAGATTGCTACCCCTGTTTTTTTCTGGGCTCCTGTCACATGGAGAATTGTTTTCTATCTTTTCACTTTCAGTCTATGGGCTTCTTTTTTGCACTAGGTGTGTTTCTTGTATACAACATATTGTTGGATTTTGCTTCTTATTCCACTTTGCCAGTCTATTTCTCTTGATTGGTTTGTTGAGGCCATTGACATTGCTGTTTATAACTGATATGTACTGACTTATTATTGACATGTTTTTGGCCTTTTGTCGACTCTTTTTACTTTTTCACCTTCTCCTTTTAATTTCTTGCCTTGCCTATTTGATTTGCTCTGTTGGGCCTCATGGTGTTGTTGCCTTCATTGTCTTTTTCTAGGAACTTGTTTAGAATTGCTTGTAGTGCTGGTTTGGTATTCATGTAGTTTCTCAAGTGTTCTTTGTCGTGGAAGTGCCTTATTTCCCATCCAGTTTGAAAGAGAGTTTTGCAGGATACATCAGTCTAGGTTGGAGGTTGTTCTCTTTTAGTACTTGAAATGTCTCATTCCAGGCTCTCCTTGCCCCAAGGGTTTGTGTTGAAAAGTCTGCTTTGATTCTGATGGGCTTTTCTTTGTATGTGATTTGTTTCTTTTCTCTTACTGCTTGTAGTATTTTGTTCTTCTGTTGGATTTCTGGGATCTTGATTATTATATGTCTAGGTGTAGATTTTTTTTTTGATTGTAGCTAGTTGGGGTCCTGTATGCCTTAGTTATCTGAATATCAAATTCTTCCCCTCTGTTTGGGAAGTTTTCTGTCATTAATTCTGTGAACAGCTTTTTAAAGTCATTTGTATTTTCTCCTGCTACTTCATGTATTCCTATAGTCTCATGTTATTCTTCTTTGCATTATCTAGGAGTTGTTGGATCGATTTCTCATGATCCCTTACTGTTTTTAAGAGATCTCTCTTTTCATGGTTACTGACTGCAATCTTATCTTCTATATCTGAGATTCTATCTTCGCATTCTTTTATTCTGTTGCTTCCACTTTCTATGGAGTTTTTAATCTCCTGGATATCTGTTTGAATCTGTTTTATGGATTCCATTTCTTTCCTATGTTGGGTATTTATTTTTTCCATTTCTTTCTTATGCTGGGCCTTCATGGCTTCTATCATGGTGCTGAGCTCATCTATTTTTTTGTCAGTTTCTGCTCTAGAGTCTTGAATCGCGACTTCCATTTTGCTCACCATCTTTATGGTTATCTGGAAAATTATTTCTGTTTTGGATTTTTCTAGAGCCTGATTGATCTGTTTTGTTACTTCCTGTGCTTTGAGTTCAGGGTGTCCAGGTGGTTCACTATCGGCCTTTTCATCCTCATTTGCCCTACTGTTTGCCATTGGTGAACTGGAAGTCTGTCTTTGTGTCTTGCTCATGTGTTTTCTCATTTTTATTTTTGTTGTCGAACTGTCCTTGGTTTAATCTCTGGATTATCACCCATATCTTCCTGATATAGTTGCCTCCTAGCTTCTGTGTCTCTAAAGACCCACAGACATTCTCATCTTCATAACATCAGAGAAAACAGCTCATCAAATGAACCGCAATACTTTACACCAACTGATACAATCAGCAACACATTAAGATCATTGGACACTGACCACCTGTGGTAGTCACTAGTCTATCACCCTTAAATCATTTGAATTAAATTGAAATCAAGAAGCAGTCCAGAACATGTCTGCAGTGAACAAAATTTCAACATAGTGTATTTACCATTTAATGGCTCAGACAGAGCGAGGATGCAAGACCCCTGGTCTCAGTTAGCTGATGGCTGAACCCCACGAAGCT